GCAGGGGAGGAAGAAAATATAAAAACAGAACCCAATAGCTTTCATAGAAACATAATGGAGGAAATGAAAAGAGATAAAAATATGTGAGTTTTATTTTTATTTTTATTATTTTTATAATTAATTTTTTCCACATATGAGAATGAATCAAACTGCAAGAACCAAAGAAGCACAAAAAGAATGCATATCCAACGTCAACTGTATAAGTCATAGTCATTGCAGGAAGCAGAAGAATGCATAAAAGAATGTTATGCAATTTCCTATAGAAAATAACAAAAGCAACCAAGTATAAAGTTGTGTTATTGATTTTTATTATTTTATTATTTTATTTTGCTTCTATAATTCTTGATCAATTTACATGTTGGGGAACGCTCTCAGGACTCAAAAGGCCATTGTTGAGTTTTTTTGGATCGGTGGGCAGCAAGTCAATGTCTTGTCAAACAATTCCCCTGATTTTGACACTGAAGCTATTCATGGTTTTCCTGAGAAGGAATTGGTTTATTGGGAGTCTAACTTTTTATGGTCTTTAAAGCAGTATGAAACTCAAGAGAAGCCTCTTGTTGTTTGGGATATTGTAACAGCATTTTTGGCGTTTAACCATTCTAAATCAGACTACGTAGAACAGGTACTGATTAAGTGGCTCTCTATTTCCTATGTGGGATCTCATGTGGGACTTCCTGCTGAAGAGGTTTTGTTGTGTGTCTCCCGAAGTTTTTCAAAATTCACTTCTCGCCAACTACACCTCCTCAATATAATCTGTAGACGCATAATGCTATCGGAGATGAAGGCTGATGAAATAAACAGTAAACTGCTAAACTTGGAAGGAGTACACTGTGCTGAAGAAGAGCAGCGGTCTTTGTGGATTAATCTGCTTTTGGCCAGTGAAAGAGAACTCCGTGAGAGGCTTGTGGGATTTACATTTTCTGCATTTATAAGTCTGATGCCTGCTTCAGCTGCAAATTCTCCATCTGGAAATTGGTTTCCTGTTGGACTAGCGCAAATGGAGCAGTGGGTTGAGCTTAATCGTGATCATATGCAGGATCAGCTAAAGGTCCTTGCTTCCGAAGTTGGAAAGCAAGAGGGGAGGTACACCCTGATTTTTTATCCTTTGTCATGCATAACTGTTACCTGCTTTAGTGATATGATTAGACTCCTGTCACTTTAGTCGTCGAGGACCATGCATTGTTCTGTCTTGCCATTTTGACATAAAAAATAACTGCATGAAATATACTTCTCTGAGGCTTGGTGTAGAGAAAATTACGTGTTTATTTGTTCTGCGTAGAGAAGTCAACCTTGGAGTGGGACCCTAAAAAAAAAATGCAGAGTCGCTACTTAATCTGATTCTTAAAAGACTCCGTATTTCATTTAATGTTAAATTTGTTATTTATGGTAAAGTTTTGAACGTCTCTGGCTGTTGAAGTTGGCTGCTGGAATTCAACAGTTTGGGTATGTTCATTAGCCTTTGGCTATATGTTACAATTGCCTTTTCAGGTAATTGTGTAATATTCCTCGTGATGTGCCAGCATCAGCTCGTAATGGGTTGGTAGTTAAGGTCATTGGGAGGATGTTGGGGTGTTAATTCTTGGTTTGCAAATGGTGGGAATAGTCTGATGATTGTATAAATACATATTGTAATAGAAGTGAAGCAATCAACAAAAAGTTCCAAAAGTATTAGGGTTCACATGGGAAGAGTTTTCTTAACAACGTAGAACTCCATTTTAGTTTGAGTAACCTGCATGATCGTTGCAAATTATTTGTAAAATTAGGACTCAGAAGGCTGGTACAAATGACATAATGGGAGTTTTACTGGAAACCTTGCATGCTGCACTTATATACATACATACAAGGGGTTAAAAAACATGCTTATTCTGACACTCGTTCTAAATTTTGCATGATACAAAAAGGTTTACCCTACTACTGTGGCTGACAATAAATAATTTAAGAAATTCTTAAATTCAAATAAATGCGAGTTTTTTTGTTGTTTCAACATGGATGTCTCTTTTGCCCTCTTTTGTTTGCCTGCTTTTATAATTGACAATGCTATGTTCCTGTAGCTTTTGACCTTTATCTTGCCTTGTCATTGGGTAAAGTGGCTTTTAGGTTTGCAACTTTGTCTTTTCGCTATAATTGATACATACTTATATCAGTATGGCTATGTATTCCTCCTCAAACAACAGGCTCCAGTCCAGTAAATACTTGGCAGCGGAGAAGTGCAGCTATTGTTCTGCATCAGTTCCATTTGAATCTCCCGAAGTTGCCTTCTGTCAAGGCAGGGGACACAAACTGGTTAGGTGTGCCATTTCTATGGTGGTTTGCCCTACTACTCCTACATGGTTTTGCATATGTTGTCATAGACGAGCTTTCAAACTGGCACCAGAGACTCTCTTTGCAATCCCTGGTTATCCTTTTAATTTCAAATCTTTGACCACATCATCATCTATGCTAGAAGTATCCTTAAAACCATTGTGCCCCTTCTGTGGGATACTGCTGCAGAGACTACAACCAGACTTTCTACTTTCTGCATCACCCACTTAAGTAAATGATTTCCGTCCAAGGTAGATTTTCGGTCAGGCACTTGGAAGAAGATAGATTGTACTAGCAGGTTCCTTCAACCAAAAGGAAAAATGTATATAGTTTAGTATGCTAGGTGTAATTGTATACAATGTATATTTATTTATTTATTTTGTTTGTAATAAAATTATGTATCTGCTGTTCTTCATTAAAAGAAAAAAAATGTATCTTGTGATGGCAACCACTAACCATACTGGAATGTAATGTTGTTTTTGAGAATTTAGATGTATTTGACAAATTGTAGAGTCAAATTCAAGTGAAAGTCTTGTCTTTGATCATGGCGGTTGCTGAGTTATGAAAGCATTCAGGAGAGATAAATATTGACTAATTTACGCATTTGGGGAAAAAGAAACTAGAATTTGGAAATTTAACTTCTATTTTCAACTTTATTTATTTATCTGAAAACCTGTGTGGTATTAAATTTTAGAAGCTATTTTTGTTTCCTGGCAAAATTCTTTTCCTTGAAGAAGCATTGACAACTTTGAAAACTTGGAAAGTGATATTTAAGCACTTTGACATGGGGCTGGCCTTCACAGATTCTTGTTTTAAAACACCAACCAATTCTGGTTTTAAAATGTTCTCAGTATTTTTGAAAATGAAAAACATTTAAAATCCCATTTCCGTTCATAGACGTAATTTCTCAAAAACTTACATCTATGTTAAGTGGTGGGGAAAAACCCTTCATTCAAAAGAACATAAGACAACTACTTAATTTCTAGGAGTACATTTTACACCATCAAAGTTTTGCCTCGTTATCAAAATGGCCACGAGGTTTCAATTTTCTCGCAACACAAACACCTCAGCACAACAGTGGGTAACACATTCGCAACCGAATTAGTCTAAATTAATTCGAACTTGAGTATAATTTATAAAAATGAGATTCGAACTTGAGTGAAAGGAGCCGGCTGTCGTAGCGGAGGAAGTTAGAGCTAACGAACGTTTTAAAGTTGAGAGGCAGCATCTTTTAACGCCCTCTTCCGTTCCCGTTGAAGCTACTAGCTAGAAAAAAGAAAAAGTAACCACCAGAGGTTCCTCATCTCCATTTGTCGGCACATCAGGTACTGTAGGTTCTTCCAGATTGTCTTTGTTTTCTGGGTTTCATTTTTATTTTATTTTTATATGGTGCATCTTATTCTGGGTATTTAATTTTGGGAGCTCTTTTTTCTGATAAGAATGGTGGGTTTGGATTCATGGCTTTGTTTTCTCATGGTGGGTTGATGCTTTCTTATGAAAATTCTGACTTAGAATGCATTTCTTTTTCCTCATTGTTGT